GCATGTTAATCATTGTAGACGTTTGTCTTCATTATCACTCTTCGCTTCTCTGTTTTATAATAAATTTATGTGTAACTTTCGATTCAGTGAAGCTGATTTCTCATCTTTTTAATGTGTTGTATAGTCTATTCTGACTCACAACTCCCCTTTACCAGCTGTAGGGTACTCAGAGATGGTTGATCTTTCCCCTTTTTAGGTTGGACATGTACATCAACTACCTTTTCTGTATGGATTGGGAAGCAAAACAGAACAGGGGATTGCTAAAAAAATTGTTTTACTTTAGTGGTCTTTCTAGTACATTAGCTGATTCATTGTTCTTGGAACACTTGTAGTTAAAAATATTTTCATGCTGTATGTTTAATAGAACTCAAGTCTAAGGCAATTTGGGGGTGATTTCTATAACCCCCTATAATTGTTTTAACCCTCTTGAATATAAAAGGTAGTAAATTCTGAGAAAAGGTTACAAAGTCCAAAGAAGTATCATGGGGGAATCGAAACCTTGAACTCTAGATCCACACTCCATTCACTGACCTCTTCATCCAGCTAGGTTTAGAGAAACACTTTTCGTCATGATTCCTTTAAATCCCTTGACTTCTGTTGGTTAAGAAGCTGGAAACCCAGGTCAGGAATGATTGCGATCTACTGTTTTCTCAACAGAGAAAGGGAGGCAGCAGGAAATTGGCGTATTGATAGATATTTTCCCTTTTAAATGGTAAAAGCCACTAATCACCATGAATTCTCTCTTTCTTCCAGCAGATGATGCACAGGAGGAGGAAGGAAGACTCCACGGGACATCCCCAGAAAGAGTGGAGGTTGAAAAGGAGAACTGTGGGAAGAGAGATGAATTGCAGAGGAAGAAGGCAAATGAGGCAAATGAGAGGAAAAACAAACCTCACCCTTATCTTAGAGTTGTCTGTCAAGAAGAAGAGGAAAAGTCAATAAAAAGATGCCTCAATGTCCCTCAGAGCTCAGAGTCTGGGCTAAGGAGCCCACAGAGGAAAAGCCCAGTGAAATGTCCAAGATGCCACTCAGAGGAAAATCTTTGTAAATGTTTGGAGCATAGAGAGAGTTCCAGAAGGAGCCCAGAAGATCCAGGGTTTCCCACAGGAGAGAAACCTGAAGACTCAGGGTCTGAAAAATGCTTCAGCGTTAGCTCAGCTCTTCAAGACACTCAGCCGGTGCACTCAGAAGGAAAATTGTATAAGTGTGAAGAATGTGGCAAGAGCTTCAAGGGAAGGTCTGGACTTAAGCAACATCAGAGAATACACACGAAGGAGAGACCCTACAAATGTCATGAATGTGGAAAGGGCTTCAAACGGCTGTCAAGTCTCAGAGAACATAAAAAAATTCATACAGGAGAGAAACCCTTTCTCTGTGAAGAATGTGGGAAAACGTTTTCCAAAAACTCCAACCTCACCGTACATCAACGAATTCACTCAGGGGAGAAACCTTATACATGTAAAGAATGTGGGAAATGTTTTAGTGGTCCATCAGTTTTCAAAGTACATCAGCGCTGTCACACAGGAGAGAAACCCTTTCTCTGTGAAGAATGTGGGAAAACGTTTTCCAAAAACTCCAACCTCACCGTACATCAACGAATTCACTCAGGGGAGAAACCTTATACATGTAAAGAATGTGGGAAATGTTTCACGCGCCTCTCTAATTTAACCATACATCAACGCTCACATTCAGGGGAGAAACCCTATCATTGTAAAAGTTGTGGCAAACAGTTCAGCTCCTGTTCAAACCTCACGAAACATCAACGAATTCATTCAGTGTAAAAACCTTATACATGCAAGGAATGTGGGAAATGTTTCACGCGCCTCTCTAATTTAACCATACATCAACGCTCACATTCACGGAAGAATCCGTGTCGTTCTGAAGAATGTGGGATAAGCTTCACAGCTGAGTCACCCTTCACAGAACATCAGCAACTTCATACTGGGGGGAAAACCACATAATTGTGAGGAATGTGGAGAAAGATTTCTCTGGTTGTTCAGTCTGAGAGAACACAAGAAAATTCGCTTCAGTCAGAACCTCTAAAATGGAGAGAATGTGGGGGAAACCTTGTATTTCAGAACCAAGAATGTTACACATCAACTTATGCACAGAGAGTAGAAAGTCTGAAAATTCTGCAAAATGCCAACGTCTGAAACTCCATCTGAATATTTCTCCTGGGAAGAAAACATTCGGAGATTCAAGGAATACTGAGAGCTCTACTGTTGACTTAAGCCTTTGTGGATCTACGAAGGCACTTTGGAAAGAAACGTTATGGTGGCTTTGAATGTGGAAATCCTTTGGAGGAAATGTTCTCTTCCTCCCAAGGTTCACAAACCCCACATTCCCGAGCACATTCTACATTAGGAAGGAGCCAGTCAACTGGGGTAATGCATGCATCTGCATATCGGAAGATAGTGACAAAGAGTGAATGTGATGCGTGGATCTCCCTGCCTCGTGTTCTGTGATTCTTTGTCTGCACCAATTGCGTCTTTTACTTCAATGGTTTTATCATGATTTTAACTTAATCATTTTATGAAAATTGCCTTGAAACTAATAAATGATCTGATTCCAACTGAGTCTTTTTAGACTATCTGAAATATGGAAATAGGAATCCTGACTGTGTGA